TCTCTGTTTAATCCTTCAATTTGTGAATTTATTTTTCGTTTCAATCATATATATATATATATATATATATATATATATATATATATATATATATATGTGTGATGATTTTGTATTTAGGCAGCAATCCTTCATTTATGCATGTTTCAGTAAAACGACAGACAAGGTACTACGATTAAGCTTTTTATTTAATACTTCTTGTGTTCGAACTATTGTTTTCTTTTTTGAACACAGAGTGTGTAGAAACTGTCCAAACGTTCTATAATTCCGAGCGTTTTCGGCTATACTTTTAGCCATTATTAAGGATGAATTCATTTTTTAAATTCAATTGGGCGTGTGCGTTGTGTGTATGTTTTAGTGTTATAGAGTTGTTTTATTTTCCGAACGCGGTCAGCACATTGTAGCCGTGTTTGTATTTAATATTATTAAGTGTTTGCATTTTCCTTTTTTTCTTTTTCTATTAAGGCTTTCATCATTTTTAATCATGTGGATGAGGTTATGTATGTATTTTCTACTAGTATGTTTCAGATGGAGTCTGGTAAGTTTGTGTCTGTGTTTAAATGGCCAGGGAGGTGTAAGGTAAGACGTCTTGATGGGCATATAGTCGTGTGACCAATATAATTATTTATGAATTCGGTTTGATCAAGAACACAGTACATTAAAGGGCATTTGATGATGTCCGTTCATTGCAATTTTGTTTTTGTTGGTGTGTTGTTATTTTTTAGGATAAGTTTATCTGTTTTACATTTTTTGTAGTAGATAAATAATTTGATTTTTTTATTCGGATTAATTGGGGTAGTGTATTTCATTTTAATATTTCTGAGGGAAGATTCATTTTATTTCTAGTTAATGCATGTGTGTGTGTGTGTGTTTGTAGCATATATATACGTATTTAATTTTTTTAAAACGATATCAAACAAAACAAGTCAATACAACCACTAAAACACAAGGAGTTACTGGGTGTGAAGAATTAGGAATAGACACGTTAGTAATGAAGAGAAAGTGAAATAAGCAGTCAGGAGGACCCTAAATAGCGATTTACATTGCATTTACAATTTTGCAGATTAAAATTGGGTGGAAAGCATGGAACCGGAAGTGAGTTCCCCAAGCGAGAAATGTGAGAAACGAAACTCTCATCTCAGAGGTTACGGATAAATCTAACTATATCAACTGTATCTTGACAGTCTAGTACTGCGCTTAAATTCCCAATGTCTTGGCAACATAGCGAAGAGTTCATCCATGAAAATGTTTATAAAAAAAGGCACAGATAGGTGGCTTTACGGCACTGGGTAAGTGACTGAAACCGAGCTGCTTGATCAGGACCAATAATCTTGCTGATTCGTCTTTTAATCTTATCAAGGAGCTCTAGGTGAATAGCAAGATCATCGCACCATATATGGCCGTAATATTCTAAGCATAGACGAATGGTAGACTTATAGATATCCAAGATAGATTCCGGAAAGAAAAATTGCCTCGCCTTATATAGTGAAACGAATTTCTTAGCAGCTATCATAGCAATGAATTCAATATAGTTTTTCCAGTTCCTGTCAGCTGAAAACGTTATCCCGAGAAGACGCATCGAATCACTTTCCTGGAGGATAACATCAACTATACTGGTGGAAGAAAGAGACGGGGTCCCTCAGATGTTTAATGGAAAGAAATTTAGTTTTTGAGGCATTAAAGTTGCCACAGTTAACGACGGTTTTGATGTCGTTTTGGAGACCATCTGACATTTTGACGTTGTCAGAATGATTGGCATTTCTAACGAAGCAGCCGTAAATAGTTATGTCATCATCGTAGTTGCCAAGTTGAGAGCTGGTGTCATCGAGAAAACTTTAATTTCACTATTATATCGGAACGACTGGATCAGCTCAAAAATTTACCCGGTGATACCGTTTCAGCCTTTGGAAACAGTCTTCGAAATGTCCACTGCTACAGCCCGGGTTTCACCGTTTTTATCTTGAGCATAATTGACTCTGTCCGCAATTATTGTTAATATATGAGAAGTTGACCTAGAAAAACGAAGTCCCTATTGCTTCTCTGAGAATAGACCCTGCGATGAGAGATGATGAACCAATTCAGCATAGATTAAGGCCTCTAAGAGTTTTCTACAAAAGAGATAGAATGGTAATAAACCTATAGTTTAATGGGACGGACGGTTACTCATACATCTTAAAAACTGGAACGACAGACTATGATATACAACAGGTAGGAAAGAAGGAGGCAGCGAAGTATTTATCATACTGTTTAGAGAAAACAGTAGTTAGTTCACGGGCACAATTTTTAATGTATTTTACAGGGATACCATCAGGTCCATATTCTTTGTGGAGATCAAGGTTAAAGATGATAGCATAAACCATTCTAAGTGGGGAGTTAAGCAGGGATACTCCTGATGAGTCAAGAGTAAATTTTGATGAGAAGTTATGAGTAAAGTATTCACTTTTATCAGCAGATCATAATAACACCTCAAATCGTTTGATGAGGGGTGGGAGGATAAAGTCCCTGCACTTATTTGGTACCCTATTAAAGAGACGCCAGTAGTCACGAGAGCTAAAGCTTTTAGCCTCATGGTGCCTCATTCTCTCAGCAAATAGGAAGCTAATTCCTTCGAGGACTCGCTTATATTTGTTACGAGCAGTAGCAAAAAGGCACCTGTTGTGACGAGAGACAATTTTTTACGCATATTAAAATACATTTCGTAATTCATTTATGTTTGCATATAAAATTATATATTTCTCTACTTGATATAGAAAGCACTTGACTTCATAATCAGGATCAGGTGTGTAAACGTGGTCTCTTATACAGAATTGTTAATTCGACTGTGAAGATTCGGTTTCAATTTAATGTGCTTCATATATATAGCTTTTGCTTTTTTTATATCCATATATATATATATATATATATATATATATATATATATATATATATATATATTTTTACATGAATCGACGGATTATTCTTCTAAATGCAAATATTCACACAGCAAACTAGGTATTAACCTAACAATCGTGGCAGAAGAAATCAGGATAAACTTTGATTTTCATGAGAAACATATGATTCTTTCAAACTGAAACATTTCTACTTATAAAAAAATGATAATTATTTTTGTATGGGTAGGGCTTTATGATGCCAAATATCACATCATTTTTTTTAGCATATATAAGTCTATATTACTGGCCAAAGTAAAAGTGATTGTTGATTATTATCATGAAGAATCCAGCCGCATCTCAATGTAATTTATGTGATGTTTTGAAAAGAATTTTGGATTGTAGTATTTTATTCTACTACAAACATTTAATAACATTCATTCTATAGTCGTAGTTGACTTTATTTATTTTTGGCCACAATTCTTTTATTTATACTAAATTAAAATACTGCAATTAAACATTTAAAAAAATATCACATAAGTTATCTCCCTTCTATATAGATATCCCGTGCCCGATGAATTGGATAAACAACGAAACTCGCGTCGCATATCAAACATTGGTATATGTGTATTTATTAGCATATATATATATATATATATATATATATATATATATATATATATATATATATAATAGACCGGTGAAAGAAAGTAGAGAAATACAAAACAACAAAAATAATAATATTGATAATAAAACTAATAATATTTATTGTATCTTAGAAGGTCTTTGACCAAATGGAAAGATGATCCGGATTATTTTAAAAATCGAAATTGGGTGCTTTCTCACCATGACAAAAACGAAAAAGCGATCTGATACGTTTCGGCTAGTTGTTTGCTACGATTCGGGTTACGGAGCGTTTGTAGAAGGCTTATTGTGGAGACTGTTCTTTGAGTCATCCATTTTAATCCTAGAACGTGTGAATCTATTTTAAAAATGTATTTCATCTCGAATTTACGTCGTTCTTGTTGGCATTTAAAGGAAGACGCTAATAGGAAATATCTAATTTTATCAATGCTATAGTCTGGTTGGTTCAACTGTGCAGCTGCAGTGACGTTGATATTTTTTATGGCTATTAAACCGAATACGAAGTTCAGGGCATGTTTCACAGAGATAATTTCCATTTTGTGAGCCCCAAAATTATTCTTCTTTTGTATGTCGTGTCCCTTCAGGACATAGGGGACTATGGCCCTCAACATCTTCCTTAATAAATTTTGTATTTTTGTTGTTTCTCCCAGAGCCTTTTTCTGCCATCCAATTGCTCAAAACCATCAAGTCACTTACGTGCTGCTTTCCTCGGACGCTCTTTCCCTTAATCTTTCCTTTGAGTATCATATTTTCCAAGCCTTCCTTTCTCATTACGTGCATCTAGAAACGTCATCTCTCTTTTCTGTGATACTGACTTAAGTATGTTTCATTTATCTTTCCATTCTCTCCCAAACCAACCCGTTGCTCACATGTTCGGTCCATGCTATCCTCAGCATCTTTCTGTAGAACCACATTTCTGTTGCTTCAGATTTCTTCTTCATTTTTGAAGAGAGTGTTTGAAGTGTTTAGTATTTACTAATTCTCCATCCTTAATTTTCATTTTGGATTCGGAGTAGATGTTATCATTGGTGTAATTCCAATTCCAGATCATTGTTACTGTTTTGGATAGTTTTATCTTAAGCCCTATTTCTTGGAAAACTGCGTAAATAATTGAAACACAATGATGAAAGTGAATGTGGGTCAAGTACACTGAAAACTCGTTTCTTTCGCTTATCATGACATCTTCCTTTTATATTTTGCTGTAATTAAACTTAGAAATATTTTAAAGTCTGTTGCGTTCAGAGCTTTGGGCAAAAATCATTTTGCTTGCATGCGTAATACCAGTCGTATTGGTAGAGGTTGGAAATACATGGCAATTTTGAAAACTTTAGCCTGAACTGTTTCGACCGTACATTCTCAACAACAAAAGATCAAATAGATCCTTACAAAGCAAACTGTACAGGGTGATCAGAAAATCATCTTAGCCCTACACAACATAATTTTCTATTTCAGATGGCTGACATGAGCTCCTACCGTTTGGAAGAGAGGTAGGAGGTGACAAGACTTTCGGACCACTATCTATCTATCTATCTATCTATCTATCTATCTATCTATCTATCTATCTATCTATCTCAGTCTGTTTATAATCTATCTATCTATCTATCTATTCATCTATCTCAGTTTGTTTATAATCTATCTATCTATCTATCTATCTATCTATCTATCTCAGTCTGTTCATAATCTATCTATCTATCTATCTATCTCAGTCTGTTTATAATCTATCTATCTATCTATCTATCTATCTATCTATCTATCTCAGTCTGTTTATAATCTATCTATCTATCTATCTATCTATCTATCTATCTATCTATCTATGCCATTGCAATGTATATATCTATCTGTCGCAATTTGTTCATTATCTATCTATCTATCTATTTATCTATCTATCTATCTGTTACAGTTTGTTAATTATTTACCTATTTATCTGTACACTACGGAAATGAAACTTTGTACGTCTACCATTTTATTTTTAAATTTACTTATTATCTTATAGACATTAGATTTTCAGTCTTTCTTTTTTACTTATCCCCATTTCTTTTAATGCTACAAACGCGGCACTCCGCTGTGGTTAGTAAGGTTGTCGCGCCAGATAAATTACGGCTGAATTGTGAGTTCTAGCTTCACTTGGTGTCAAACAGGTTTGGCCTTGTGTCACAACTAAGTGACTCTTAGAAAATCAACGTATTTTGAGGCATTTCTGCTTGGTGTAATGGTTAGCATGATTGTCTCAAATAGATCAGTTATGACGGAATAGTGAGTTCGATCCTCACAAGTGCCCCACTCTTTCAGGATTTTGTCACAACTTAGCTACGCTTAAGAAAGTCGCCATGTCTTTAGGGACTGCGGATTGATGCAAATGTTAGTAAACTTGTTTCGCTAGATCAATTGCAACTGAATAGTGAGTTTGATCCTCACTAGGTGCCCCATATTTTAGGCCTTGTCTCTTATCTAAGCTACGCTTTGAAAATCAGTATAAGTCTCTCAAGATTAACCTATTGTTGCACTTGTGGAACATATTTTAAAATATTTTTATACCAGTAATTCACTGGGCGTATAATGTGTATAAGCTCGCAATGATATATAGCTATACTGAGTTCGATTTCCATTCAGATTCATTACATTACTGATGCAAAAACACCCTTCTGAAATATATGAATTCATCGATTTCGCCCAGCTGTGGATTAAATCGTAGGATGTAGATAAATTATAAATCCCAAAGAAAAAATAAAAATACTTACAGCGTTAAATATGTTTCGGCTTTAAATAAGCTACAAAGTGTTGATAAGCCGTAAAAATCAAATCAATTTATTTTTATATTAGACAAATTGAAATTGTATTTTAACAAAATCTGTTAGCACTTATTGAATTTTAGTTTGGTTCAAGTATATTATTAATTAAATAATCAAAACTAAAACTCGCCTGATATAAAAAAAAAAAAAAAAATAATGATATTTGTAAATACCAGGTTGAACAACAAATTTGTCCAATTGTGTAAAATCAAAATTGTCCAATTGTTAGATTAAGCTTTGAACCCGTGTATCTTAGAAATGATTTAAGATATCTTACTGGAATTATCACAGGTTTTATAACACTATTGCACGCTAATTTGAACAATAAGAATGTATAATTACTCTCCAAGCTCTTAATGAAATTGATCATAAAAGATTAAAAAATGACATGTTCATCATTAATAATCATAGATAAGCACCAGATGCTCATGAAGAAGAATTGTTCATATATATATAGTATATATATATATATATATATATATATATATATATATATATATATGTGTGTGTGTGTGTGTGTGTGTATATATATATATATATATTATTATTATTATTATTATTATTATTATTATTCTAGTATCCTTTTTCAACTTATTAAAAAATGATATTTGCCCCTCTCTACCCTTATAACTTTCTGTCCTGGAGTCATAAAATGCCTTCTAGGTTTCATGTACGATTTAATTTTTAAGTCTTTTTTCACTGCTCATAACTGGAACTCCTCTCTCACATGCCAAATTGAGTTGGATCTTTTCTAATTGATCTCTAGCGCTAACTTAGAATGATGATCTCTCTATGCTGTTGTGATCTCCTGATTCAGATTTCCTCTCTACTGTTCCCTCTTTTTAAAACTTATTCACCGTTATCTTAATGGTGCTTGAATGGCCTTTGAAGATGGAAGCTCACCTATGAATGTTGGTACAATTAATGAAGGCCTGAATTATATTTTTCCTCTCATCATTTCTCATTTGGGAAAACAGTAAGTCTGGCACAAAACAATTTTAACCTGTTGTCTTTTTAGCTGAATACCTCAAAGGTTTTTCAGTGATTCTTATGACAAATAGTTTCAAGATGGCTCAGTGTTTTAGCTGAAATTCTTGAAAAAGAACCTCAATCAGCTTTGTGTTTTTTTAGATGTTAAACATTTCGTGGAATGGATGATTATGCTGTTACACAATTTGAAGAATTTTAACGTTACACCCTTTATGTTCCTGCAGTATAATATACCGCTAAGGCAATGTTCTAAGGAATTAATAGATTTTTATTTATTAATTCGATAAACTGTATCACTTTAGACGTTATTTTGTGTGGATACTCGCTTTTCAGTAGACGTTCCGTATATTTATTAAACACTATATCTTTTTTTATTTTCGTCTACCGGTTTGAATATTCTGGATATCCTATTGAAAACATATGCGTTGTCTGGCAGGATTCGGTCCTGCGTCCTTCTGGGCATCTGTTAGATTAATAAATAAAAATATACTACTTCTTTTAAAAATTCTTTGTTTATGTTTGGATACGAAACTGAGCACTCATGAATATTTCAAGAAAATCTAGAACTTCGTTTTAAGGCACTATTCAACCTTGCCTCAAGGGATAAGTCCGCTGTGGATCAGGCGGTTACAGTACATCCGATCCTCTCTGTAAAAACGAGCGTTCCAATGACTTGTTTCATGTTCATCTATTAGTATATAACAGCAATGAAATTAAATGTGTCGTTTTTTTTTCGAACAGAAATTATTTTTCTGATGACGTCAGATTACTGACGACCCGTGTTAGGTTAGATTTTACGACTACGAAAATTAAAAAAAGGTGTGGTTTTTTTATTTTTTTTTTCTTCTTCTGGAAATGCCTATCTAGTATGGTCAAATTTAAATTTCAAGACCAAGGAAGCGGAGAAGTGTTTAGATCTCCAGGTGCCAACATTAACTTCGCGTGGAAGACGACATTCTACGTCTGTGAGCCAGGAATAAAAATAACGTCTAATAATTGCAAAAGACAGAAAACATCAAAGATTTATTATTCAAACAAAGTTTTCAAAAAAGTGGTAGAATAAATTCACTTCAATTATTTTTTTTTTAAATTAAAAAGATAGTACGGAGTAAAAAAAAGAAATAGGTAAATAAATTGATTAAACAATGGAATTCAAACAGATACATACAAGAAAGGCAACGATATATTTTTTCACCTTGCTTCGTAGACGAAAATTAAGCAAGGAGTGGCGTCTCACGCTTTGAGACAGTGAAATTCCCTTCCACTTACTTGTTTCCCTGATAACTATAGTCTTCAAAAGTTTAAATGTAATATCAATCGACATCTTCTGATGCCTTGATCTTGACCTCCGTCGTTCTCCTTACCCTTTCCACTCCTTTCTTTTACTTTCACTCCATGTAACCCCTAGTTACTGGTACGCCTGCCTTGCTTAGTGTGAAATGTTTAACGAATATATATATATATATATATATATATATATATATATATATATATTAAAATTAATTGATTTAAAATATGGGTTTTTTCGCTTGAGTATGAAATGGAACTAATGTCTTTAATTTAATCACAAAATTAAATTCGTGGCTTTTAGCTTCAATTTTTTGAAACATGGTTAAAACCATGTAGCGAAAAAAAAAACATTTTAAATCAATTAATTTATAATATTAATGCTCTGTAAATTTACATTGAGCACTATTTTGTAAAAATAAAAATATCTATAAGAACACCGGATTATATATCTTGTTGTTGTTTCTTTTATTTTATATATATATATATATATATATATATATATATATATATATATATATATATGAATAAAAAAACAGACCACGTTAAGGTTCCATGTAATAAATTATTTCACCACAGCCCTTTTAAAGGGTTCTGGATCACCAGATTTTACTTCCAAAGGTTGAAACGAAAAATGAAATGAAAGTTACACATTTTTGACGGGCCGTATTAAGCATATGCAAATTAACGAAGTGAGGAAGTGAGGGTGGAGAGACGACATGAGTGAGTTAGATATACCATTTCACCTCTTTATCCTTAAGCTCACTTGGTGTGGGCCAGACATCGCTTAACTTAATGTATGTTATCTCTAGATAGGCCCGTCAAAAAATGTGTAAATTTCTTTTCATTTTTCATTGTTTTTTCTGGCTGTACGCTAGACTGCTAACCCAGTCAGTGGGTTCTTCGATTTTCCTAATGATCCTATGTCTTTTTCCATCTTGTCTAGCTCTCTCTTTAACTCGTCTCTTAGGTGGATAGGACATTTACGTGGGGCATGTATCACCGGTGTTACAGATGGGTTGAGAACAATGTGGTACTTTCCTGGGAGATGGCCAATGCGGTCAAATTGTTTTGGATATTCCCATAGTAGATCATTTATGGACTCTATCAGTTTCGCTTCTTTTATTTCGCAATGCAGATTTCCCATCTTAAGGTTACGACAGCTTGGTAGTCCTAATATTGCTGGTCCGTTTGTGTCCACTATGAAAAATGTTTCTGCTGACCACGTGTCCTGGTTATACTTGCACTGGAGCTGGATGGTGCCAATTTGTGGTATTATGGTCCTATTGTATGCAGTTAAGATTGTGTTTGATTGTTTGACTAAATCTTTTTGCGGGTTTAGGCACATTTGTTCATATAATCGTAGTGGCAATATGTTTCCTTCTGCTGCAGTATCTACTTTTACCATTAGTTTGGCTGTTTTTTTTTTACTTTGTCTGGGTAACATAATTTTAATTTTTGCTTTGATTTCAGTACGGTTGTCCGACCTGTTAACAGTGTGTAGTTCCAGTTCTTCGGAGTCGCTATTGTAGGCATCATAGTCTACCGCACGAATATCTTTACAGTATCTCCTCTGGGTGTCTTTTGCCTTGTATTGTTTTTTGGTGAGGTATTATTATATCTGGTCTTTTCTTTCCTCTCATTCCACATGCATACGCCAGCCCAGTGGTTCCATTTATTACATTTTCGGCATTTTGTACCATAAGCTGACATTTTCATAAGGCTTGTGGTTTTCCCCACATTTTGGACAGCTTCTGCTTTTTTTGTGTCTTGTATAGTAGCTACTGTGGCATTGTGTTGTGGCTGTGCGCTTTGATTTTTTGTGGCCTGCAG